TATGCTCCACTTCCAAGTAGAGCGTATCAAGCGATGAGATCGCAGAAGAATGAGTGACAAAGTGCTTGTGCCCTCACAATTGCTTCAATAGTAAATAACCAATGAAATCAAATTTGTTATTCCATAAATGTACTTTTTACAGGAAAATCAACTATGACTGCCATTGGTGCACCAGCAGGCGCTTCAACAATGACCGCAATTGGAGCACCAGCAGGTTGAAGTCATTTATGCTTAAATGAAACATAGCCTACACCTAATTTGTTCATGTGTGCCAATGTTTGTCATGAAAGTAACATAATGCACGGCTTGCTTATAAGAAATTGTGAATTTTAATAGCCTTAGGAAAGAGTTAAGCTATTTCGAACAAATGCTTGTTCTAAAATCTCTCTGAGCAACCGCTTCGCTTTACCTAGTTCCATCTAAAAACCATATCTGTTTACATGATCCTGTTCAATTAGTAAGCGACTGAAATTGCACTAATTCATTTTCGAGCAACGAAATTTTATGGCGCAGCAAAGCCAAGTTTCACATCATCGTTGACTAAATGAGAAAAACGTATGTCCCCTTTTTCGGTCGTAGAATCTCTTAAGTACGGCTTGCAACTTAGTCTTTGCATTTTTGTGGAGCTTTATCGCTGTTATTAATCGCTACATCCATTTCTGCTGTATCGCGTCCTGTCTGCCTCCTACTTGAGTCTTGTGATGTGTGGACGCATGTAGAGCCAGATTATTGTGCAACACGCGAAGTTAAAATTAGTGCTTGATAAAGAAAAGGATTAATGTACACGACAACTGTAGAGAGGAAGTAAAAGTGCAGAAAGTTGCGAGCATATTTCGAGGTCCCTTCCTTACCCTATCCCCGGTACATGAGACTGCAAATTTTTGTTACCATCTACCTGAATGCTCAGATGCCTGCTAGCATAACATTTTTCCAATTGATTGACATTTTTTTCTTCGTTTCTCCAGATGCGATTGCAAATATGCAAAAATAATGCGCACAATTTGGTGCCTTTGCCTTAGAATTACGGTGTACTCTTCTCCTACTGCTAATCCATAAAAGCAACGGCTCCCTTTCAACATACTCCCATCCAGAAACTATATGGGTTTAGACAATCTTACTTAAGTAGTCTGATAACGATTGAATCACCTCATTTAAAACGATCTAATCTATCAAAAGTTCGCCAAGCAACGTCATCAGACTAACTTACATGAAGTAGCCTACTTATCCGCAAGGGTCTGAAACGAACGTTCCAGCATTTCGGCCTAATCAGTTTTGTAATTGTAAATTTGTAATCGGAGCATACATACATACATACATTACATACATACAGACTTTCTGCTTCATATATGTATATAGGATATAGGAGATTGACAATTAC